CTCCGGTCCTCGTGTCATTTTCATTCCTCAGCCTTTCCTCCCGTTTCCCTTCATTAAGAACGTTTCCTGATAGCCGCCGTCCACCGAGACATCCTGGCGAGGCTCCAGTGAGCAGCAGATAGACTTTATTAGGCCCACACTTCACAGTTCTCCACGGTGCAGTTTTCTTAAAGTTTTCAGTGTTTAGTGACTTAACAAGTGAATAAAAACAGTACAAGGACTGAGGATGAGGATGAGGATGAGTGAAGAAGCAGCCCGTGTCCAAAGAAAGACTTTCAGAAATCTGCAGAGCTGTTGCTTACAGGATCGTCCGGCTGCTTATAAGGAAGAAGGGAGAGGTGGCTCAAGACTTTTGCACAGTACTGCAGGGTTTTATTGGTTCAGATTGTGCTGTATGAGTCGGGCACGCCTGGTTGAAAGGCTTAAAGTCTGTCCTGTGTTCCCGTCTGTGGTTATTCCCTATGAGTGGAGACTGCTGATCGTGTCTGAACGAGCAGCCTGTGTCTGAGGCTCACGTGTTATTAGAGCTACCATAGAAACTAACGATGTATTTACACAGATCTTTAGTTATTGTAATAATTAGGCAGCACAAGTTTTCACCAGTTATTAACTACTTCTCTGGCTTGCTGGTTACTCGGTGTTTGGTGACTGTGCGTGCTGGAGGGAAACAGGTCGTCAGTGAGTGACTCTGAACTGTGACGTGTTTGAGGAAAACTCAGAAACACCAAAGAAGAAGAAGCTAAATGACTCAGTGGACTCACTGATGGAGGAAGCATCAGATTTTACATTTAAACTCAGACTTGACAGCAAAGCAGTCGGAGGGTGGAGTTCTCCGTCAGTGTGACGTGGAGGACGTTTCCTAGGAAACACACCTGACTCAGTCTCAGCCTCGTTAAACTCAATAAAATCAGGAGGGTTTTTCTGAACCAAACCTGCAGACACTTCCTGTTTTTATTTTTATTTCACTTCAAATGTTCAAAATATTCTTTTTTTTTCTTTTTTCTAGATTCAAATTTATATTTTCAAATTACTTCAAATCAAAAACTAAATTTCACAGAAACTGAAATGACTTCAGTGGAGTTTTTTTTTTTTTTTTTTTTTACACCTTGCTGCTGCTGCAGTGTGTGTGTGTGTGTGTGTGTGTGTGTGATTACTGGAACATGTGTTCATATGAAACACACACACAGGGTGTGTGTGAGAGAGAGAGCAACCGTTTAAAGTGTTGTCCTGTCAGTGACACCCACCACAACCACCCCAGTGACACATTCTGCTGTGATGCATCGATCAGCAGCACTCGGTGTGTGTGTGTGTCTGTGTGTGTGTGTGTGTGTCTGTGTGTGTGTGTGAGTCATCATGTCTCTGGATGGAAAGGTCAGAGTGGTTAAACTTGATCACCTGACAGCTGCTAAACCGTCGACTCTCTGCGTCTCCACATTGTTTCTGAGCTTCTGTCCAAACCTGCAGGTTCAGCACGTGAGTGAAACGTGTCGCAGGTTTGAGTCCAGAAGCTCCACACAAACCTGAACCACGTCTGACTGAGGCTCTCACGGGGCCGGACACTTTGTTTCTGATGATTTTTGTCCACAGGAAGTAAAAGTTTCTCTGTGTTGTATTACACATAGACTGTATATAAAAGAAGGACACAGGGCCTTACTGACACCTGTTGGTTTGCGTTGGCACCATGTTTGTTGGTTAAAGGTGCACGTTTTCACTCTGGTATTAAATACGAAGCTCCTGTGCTTCCTGCTGTGGTTCAGCTGCCCTCCCCTCCCCTCCCCCGCCCCAAACGTTCTCCTTCCTACTCTTCAGGTCGTTGTATTTCACTCTTTTCTCACCATCCACAGGTGACGAGGAACTCTACATCCAGCAGGCTGTTGTGTTCATCGAGGACGCCATAAAGGTGAGAGAACAGATCAAATCCTCCACTCTCATCCTCCTCCATGATTCCTGCACTGTGAGAGCTTCTGCAGAGCCTGCAGAGCATTGTCCCGACACTTCTAGACAAAATAAAACAGATTATTATTGTACTGAAGTATCTTCCTGGTTACAGTACCGCTCCATCAACCACCGAGTGGATGCAGGCTCCCTCCGCCTGTATCGATGGTACTACTCTGGGATAATCCAGTGGTGAGTAACTCAAACTCTGCTGGAGTTCAGAGCTCGGCAAAATATTTACATATGGAAATTCTGACCTTTCACCTCTGACCTCTGACCCTGCTGCATGCAGTCGTGGAGCTCCAGAAATTTACCATTTCAGTTATTTCCACACAGCAAATGCAAACTGTACCTTTCTTATTCAGGTAAGCTGAGACACTCACTGGAAACACCTGCTCAACTGCTCGTTAACACAGTGATCTAATCAGCCAATCACGTCGCACCAACTCAGTGCGTTTAGGCGTGTTCGACACAGTGAAGACGACCTGCTGAAGTTCAAACTGAGCATCACAATGATGCAGAGATTAAAGGTCCAGTTTAATGTCAGATAATATTTTCACGGCCTTTAAGA